TCTTGAACCACTCCTGAAGGTTGTCCTGATGTTATACGGACCACAGATCTTTTGTATCTTTTCTGATAAGCCCTTCACATAGTGTAGGCAGACCGAGGCTGTTTTCTGAGTGTTGTTATCATCTTGTACCCTTGTGGAGGCTGCTGTCATGTACACAGAATAGTTGTTATATTGTAGGGTACTGCCCATACAGTGTAAAGAAAGGGATCATCTCCTGCCTACAACATCGAGCAATATTTAGTTTTTGTTAATGTGTTTTCAGTATATAATTTCATTTAGATTCTTAAACCGAAGCAAAAGGAAAAAATAATCAAAATGAAATTGGTTAGATTATATACTTGTAAAAGAAAAATTTAAATTTAAAATTTTCAGCATCTCTTGTTTGTGCGCATTTGTAGTAACATCAACGTAAACATAAACTTAGTAAAAAAAAAGAAAGAACCAAGAACATTAAAACTAGGTGAAAGCAATCGTCAGTGTCCAAGTCCAAAGAAAAAAAACACCAAAACGAGTAAAAAGACAACTACATAAAGTGCTCAATACACTAAGTAGAGCAAAACCTAAGATAATTCTCAGGAGCCAGGCAAACCTAGGTAGGTTTGCCTGGCTCCTGAGGATTATCTTATATATTCTTAGTTCTTTATTCTTAAAGCAGTTAGTAACTCATCATTTCTATAAGGGAATTTTTCTACCAACTGCCAAATTGCTTGACTGTTACATTTATATCAACTAATTAAAATGATACTACATTTCAAAACAGGAAATTTTTCTCAGTGACATAATTGGAAGCAAAAGCAAAAAATTATGTTTTTTCTTTCTTTATATAAACTATTGAAGTCTTGCTTTGTCATGCCTATTCACTTAATCATGTAGTTGAACGGAAATTTTTATTTAATTTTCTAAAAGTCATGTTTTTCATAAATATATTCTTGTTTCAGATTTGTCCAATCACCGTGTCACATTTTTATGGTATAAATAATCTAACTATTACAACTGCTACATGACAGACAAATCTTATTATTTTACATAACTTTTTTAAAAGTAGGCAGTGAACAATAGACTCGTTCACACACACTATATAATCTGTGACTTACCCCCCACCCTTTATTTTGTAACTGAGTTTCATTTAGTTAAATAAAGCTTAGTATTTTTACCTCTGTTCTATGTTTTGTTTTACTTATCACAATTTATTTAGCAAAATAAACACAAAAATGAGCATGAGAATGGTGTGGAAGCCAAAGAACTTGACTATTGACCCCTGTTCATCAACGGCTGCCAGAGATTATCATCATTGGCGAACCATCCTGTTGAACTATTTCGGCAATTAAAAAGAAAGAATTCCTAACAAGTACTGGGCCCTCTTGAGCTGTATGAGATCCAGCATGTTTGAGTATATAGCAGAATGTACAGATTTCAACATTGCTATACAAAAATTGGATGAGTTATGCAGGAACTAAACTTCAAAGTTCATCCATCTAGTAAAGGTATCACCGTGGTCCATAAAACTTTAAACACTAATTCAAGAGGCTATGTAGTTGTAAATCTCTCCCTTTGCCTTGACAACCAGCTGTATATTGCCACCTGTTTGGGTGTTCTGAAGGATTTGTGTTCTGACATGATACTTGGACAGGATTTTCTGTGTCAACATCAGGGGGCAGCATTCAAATATGGTGGGTCCCTATCCAAATTAACTGTGGACAGTGTTCAACAATTCTGTGTATTAACTGCTGCAGAGATAGAACCTTCACTATATCCTAATTTATCACTGAACAGTAAGCCCATTTCTGCCAAGTCTAGGCACTTTAACAAGGATGATCAGGCCTTCATCATTAAAGAAATTCAGAATTTGCTTTCTGAAGGTGTAATTAAAGAAAGCATTTCATCATGGGAGCCCAGCAAGTAGTGGTGAAGGATCCTAACCACCTTCATAAAAAAAATGAATGTGCATAGATTACTCACAGACGATAAACCTATACACAGAACTGGCCCCTTATCCCCTGCCAAGAATTGATAAAATGATTAATGACCTTGCTAGATACTGCATTTTTTCTACATTCAACCTCAAAAGTGCCTACTACCAGGTGCCACTCAAAGAGTCAGATAAAAAATACTCTGCTTTTGAGGTGAATGGTTATTTGTTTCAGTTCTGTAAAATTCTGTTTGAGGTCTAAAACAGGGCTGCCTAGTTTCAGCAGAGCTATTGATAGAATAATAAAGAAAGAAAGACCTACACAATGCATTCCCTTACATTGACCATATCACAACTGCATTGTGCACACAGGCAGAACATGACCATAATTTAAAAAAAGTTCCTGGAGGCTATTATGAAAGCTAAGCTTACCCTGAACAAGTCGAAATCTGTGGCTTCAGTACACTCCATCAATGTATTCAGATGCTGTGTCGGCGGTGAAGTTTTTAAGCCCGACGCAGAAAGACTTTGTCCCTTAAGAGAGCTACCTCTACCAGAAAACTCAAAATCATTAAAAAGGGTGGTGGGCATGTTTGCATATTATACAAAATGTATAAATTAAATTTCTAATAAAATTCAGCCTTTAATTGAAACTAAAAAATTCCCACTTGAGAAGAGGGCACTTGAAGCTTTCAATCAATTAGAAAAAAGAACTAGGAGAGGTTGCACCATATATCTTATGGATGGTGATGCCACAAATTTTCCAAGGAGCGAAGAATGTGGTATCCTATGCTAGCTTTGTATGAGCAATAGACTCACCCACGCAGGTTATATAATCTGTGATTTACCCCCACTTTATTTTGTAGCTGAGTTTCATTTAGCTAAATAAAGCTTAGTACTTCTGTTCTGAGTTTTGCTTTACTTATCACAGAAACCTCCACAAGAACTGTATTTACATAGAATAATGACAATTATTTTTACTTATTTAAAACTATTTATTTTCCAGTCATTGAATGCACTTAAAAAACTTGAGAGAAATAAGTTGTGGTTAATGAGCAAATAACACTGAAAACTGCTTTGACACAAACATTCATATAGATAAAATTTTATTCTATATTAAACCACTTCAATGAACACCAGATGGAGGTAGAAATGTCAAAAAATTATAGGAAGAAGAAAAATAGGAATTGGGAATAAAATGGCTGTGTTTATTTTTCATAAATTGTTCTTCCAGCTTTCATTTATTGCATGATCCTCTTTATGGTTTTAGAGACTGAGACAGTCAAATCCATCACATCTTTTTTGGTGATCCACTTTGATTGAATTTAATACTTTTGCTTTTGATGTTAATCAAAACAATCAAAGCTCTAATTTGCTACTACATTCAATTGGGGACTCCATTTCAAATTTTTGGTCTTCTGCCATTATTTTTTTTATCACATATATTCTTTTGATAATGTTAGTATGTTAATGAATTAAAAATATAACTTTCACGGTTGGACTAGTTTGTTACCTTACTGATAAAAGGATTACAAGAGATGATTGGTTAAGTATTAAATCATAGTCTAAATCTCCAAGTATCTATATTAAAAAAAAGTGTAAGTGTTTGTATTCAGTTGTGGATAATTGCAAATGACTTTTACTCAAGTAATTTTGAATTACTTCAGTGTATGTTATTTCAATTCATTGCCCTTCTGGTTTCTGCTTAAAAAAATAGCACTTTGCCAAATGCTATTCTCAAATGTTTAAATGATTACAGACCATTTAGAAGTATATTTTCTATCTCCAAAATTAGTCATTTATTTGGCATTTGCTTTCTGTTAATTTATTATAATTTAATTCTTTACACAAGTATTTAGATGCTTTAATTAGAATATTGTGAGCAGGCATAAAAAAATATAAAATTATCCCTATTTTATTTTCTCCATTCTTAAAATCCTTTTCTCTTTTCAGCATTGGAAGGGCTTTGTGAAAGAATCAATTGCAGTTTACTATGATGCTGAAGGACATGTTCTGGGCCCATGGCAAATTTTGTGCCTCCCATCCATGGGAAGTGATCATTGGTACATTAACTGTCACACTATGCCTCATGTCAATGACAATGTATTCGAGTGATGATAAAATCTGTGGATGGAATTATGTCTGTCCAAACATTGATGTAAGTAATTTTATTATCCTTGGTATTTTCTCTTTAAAATCTGCCAAACCTGTACTGCTTCTGTATGCTGCAATCTGTATTCTTGGTGCTAATTGTTATCACTAATTTCTCATTCATTACAGAATTATAATTTTAGTAATTTGAAAATTTATCCAAAAATATTCTATAAAGAAAAAATACTTACTTGTGATTATCTTAATGAGCTTACAACTGTTTAATCATTTTCAGTTGTAATTAAATATTTTAAAGAATTCTGTTTACCTAAAAACTCATTTAGATGAGTTTTTTAGCAATGCTTTTCAGTTTTTATGCTTTTATAATAGAAGCTCTCATTGTTTTATACAAATAAAATATGCAAAACAACACTTCTAGAGCCATTAGTGAGTCCTGTTCACTATCAATGTTTTGTAAGACTAATTACTACTTCACAATAGATGCTCAATTTGTCGCTGTTATGCATGATTCATAGACTCTGAGGATAACCATAGAATGAAAGGTTAGGACTTGTGAATATCACATAGAACATATGAATTAAATAAAATAAAAACCCATTCCAGCAAGAATCTTGATCTACTTCATAATGTAAATAGGATAACCCCCTAACATTACTAATCTGCTACATGAGGAATTTTATTATTGAAGTGCTGGTTATTTGTTACATCCTGATTTTAACAGTTTGTATAAAAGGCAGGAAGTCTTTTAGATTAATCTTATCTAGGAAAAGTTGATCTTAAAAAAACAAAAATTTGGCCTTTTACAAATGATAAATGCCAACACAATTTCACAAATGAATCATAACTCTGCTATTTCATATTTTGATTCAATAAAATTTTTCTTCTGTCCATTCAGTTTGTTTACAATTTAATGCTATAAATAGAGAGGATAAAAAAAAGATATTGCAAAGGTGGGGCGGGGTTGAGATGTAAGTTAATTATTAAATAAAACCATAATTTTAATAATCCCTTTAAAGAAAGCTAATTCTAAGTTCATAAGACTTTCTCTTAAGTTTTATTTTTAAAAATGTATTTTGCTATTAATATACAAAATCACTTAACTGTGTGTTTTTTACTTATCAACACTTATCAGTAATCAAATATTGGTACTTCAAGAATAAACAAATCTCCTAACATACTTTTTATCAATATATAAAAGAATAATTTTTATCAATCTCATTTCTGCTTGACAGCTATTTGATTAGAGAATCTTACTGAAAGCCAATCTCCCTGCTATCCATCAAGAAAGTGCTAAAAAAAAAGATGGAACTTATTAACAATAACTGCTTTAAGAAGAAACTGATAAGAGTGTGACTGATAGACATTAAAATAACTGTGCAAGTTATACAGAAGTTATTGGCTTTTTCTGGATTAGTTAGATGTTTACTTTAGACGTGTTCCTTCTCAGCTTTGAAAATACATTTAAGACTGAAAATAATGCATTTACAAAGTTTATATTGAAAACATATTCCACATTTTACTCATTTAAAAAAAAGTTTCCAATCAGGATTCTAAAACTATTTGTACATCAATTTATCATTTTCAATTTTTAGATAACAAAACCCTTATATAAATTAAAAACTTCTTTTGTATATATATAAACTTTTCAATTGATTTAATTCTATTCATTTTATTTAAAAATACCCTGCATTTTATATAAACTATTTGATGCCTTTCATATGTGTGTATATATAAGTAATCTTTTATTAAATAAAGTTGATTTCAACACTTTTCTATTACAAATCAATTAATTTTAGTGAAAAGAATTTTTTTTTTGTTACAATGTGCTATTAAGTTTGAATGTTCAGTTGAAGAGACATTTCAGTGCTCTCAGTGGATTGATTTTATTTTAAAGTTCATGTCTGATAATTATTGTGAAGGAGAGGGTTAGATTTTTTTTTTTTTTTTTTTCAGATTCAAATAAAAAAGTCCAAGGGTGGGATTTAATGCTCATGATTTCTAAAGTTATTTACTGTTTGCTAACCTCAGTCATTAGGTATTCTTACACATCACCCATCCCATAATGACTGATTTGTTACATTGAGATATATCTATATATCTTTTAGTGATTTTTTTTTATTTTACCGTCCTTCAAAAATCTTTTCACCTTTCAATAAATGTTCAATGTCAGAAACCATAAAGATTGTATTATAATGAAAGACTTGTGCATCACTCTCTTGTCAGGTTTTTGTAACATGACCAAATTAGATTATAGAGGGAGGAATAAGACACATAATTTCAAGCCTGATGACATTTGGGTGAAATAATTGTAAAGAGTTGAGATAGCATAAGCTAACACAATGTGATCTTCGTTTGCAATTTGATTGAAATATTTATCAAAATTGAGGCTATTTTCTGCAAATTCAAAAAATTCCTGATGAAGTAAAGCATTTTATGAATTGTAAAACACCCATTGATATGTACCTTGTGATTGAAATATTTATATATTTCCTTATGTTGAAAGAGGTCAATGTTCAAGCCAAGGTAAGTCAGAATTTTGCCTGCTGATTTTCTTAGCAAATAGGCCTTTCTCACTGAAAAAAATGAGCATAACACTTTTTACCTACTTTTCATTTCTTTTTATTTGGCCTTGTCTAGTTGTGGAGAAGTCAATTTGAAACTTTTTGCATATTTATGTATAAAATTTCAGTGATATTCTATATGACATTCATATTTTATATTGTTATATTTGCTGCAAATCCTGACATATTTCCTTATATTTTTGCTGATGTTCTGCTACAGATTATTTGCTTTTTTAATTTTTTGGACTCCCAGCATATTATATCAGGGTTTGTCTGTATTAAGAACTTAGACTTAGTATTTAAAATTCTAAGAAACCACTTGCCTAAGAATTTAACATTTTTTCTAAACTTTTCCTTGCAGAAATTGCAGTCACCTGATGCTCTTGGGGTAACTATAACCAGGTGTGTAGCAGTGATGTATCTGTACTTTCAGTTTCGAGATCTAAAAAAGATGGGTTCTCGTTATCTTCTTGGTAAGCACAGTTTATTTGTTTGTAATCTATAGAAGAAATCTTAATATTGGTTATATTTTTTCTCTTGATGATTTCAAGAACCATATCAGTAGCCAGATAAATTTGTAGTAAATGACTTCATGTAATTTTGTGCATAATAAATATCAGCATCTGTTGTGGTATTTCAGATTTACAGTAGCATTAATGATTTGCATAATAGTCATAGAAATAGAGACTCAGTAACTAAAGTTAGTTGAATCATACTGTGATTACATAACTTACTCATTTAAAGCATATTAGCATCTATTGTTTACTTTGTTTTTATTTGCAGCAATTTCTGGTTTGTTCACCATGTTTTCCAGCTTTATGTTCAGCCTTGCAGTTGTGAATCTTTTCAAAAATGATTATACAGGTCTCAAGTAAGTCATTTGTTTCTCCTCTCACTTTTGAGTTTTATTATATAATGTTTTAATAGAAACTAAAAAACATCATTGTTTTTATTTGTATTCTTGTTTCTGTACTCTTGGCCTTGGCAAGCATATTTAAGAACAAAACAATTTTAAGTCTAAAGATCTCAGTGATGCTATCATTCTATTGTAGCAGCTAGCAAGTAATTTGACATAAACTCTGGGCATTTCTTCTGGAATGTGAAAGACATTTAAAATCTCTCCTAATACAGCATCAAGGCTTTGTAAAGAAAAAATGTTTATAAGACTTTCTTCTTTTTTTCTTTTTTTTTTTTTTTAGCTAAATGCTGCAGACATTTGAGTAATGTTTCAGGTGGTTTCTGCAGAAGGTTATTTGTCCCATTCCCAAATTAGTGTCTCTAGAATTGCCTTGGTCAGTCCAGTTTGAAGCTGTCATAATGACAATAACAAATGAAAGAAGTTGTACAAGTGATACAGTACTTTGTTTGTCTATCTGTTCTCTGCTGACAGATTTTGCTAGTGCAGCTAGAGCAATAGTGATGCCTGAAAAAAGATCATTGATTTAACAAAACAATATTTTTCGGTGTGATCTCCTTTTGTGATGATGCTCTGAATTAAGTGGTGAATATTAATCATAATGGTTGTCATTATATATTGAAAATTTCAAATCAAAATTTAATAACTAACTACATTTCAGTCTTGTTGATACACAAAATATCAGACATTATATAATGTTATCTGCATTTACTTAAAGATTAAAAACTATAAAACCTTTGAGAAATGAATCAGTATTCAAAGGAATAAAGCTTCATCATTAAATTGTGCATTTATGCAATAAAACTTTTGTATGCTTGCTTTGTATTATTGGATCTTTTGAAGAGCCTTATTTTCAGTTGTTTCTCTCAATCTTTGCAAATTGGATCTTGTTTAAACAATTGTTTTTTGTTTTTTTTTTAATAAAGGGTACTAAATTTCTGCTTCACATTATCTTGTATCTTGTTCAAATTTAGTTATTTAATCTTTTTTATTAATTTTTCTCATGGGATTCTCTGAAGTATTTGGTTACAAATTTCTGATCAAAAACTTTTAAATAAACAAGAGAAACACTTCCTCCTCTCTTGCAAATATACACCCAATCATTGAAGGTTACTTTTTCTATTCTCCTTCATTTTACTGTATATCTAAAAAAAGAAATTTAAATATTTGGAATTCTAAGAGATCACATCAATTCATTGTCTATTTTTAACAATCACTTTTGATGGCACATTGGTGTCTATTTGAAACTAACTGTAAACACAATGATGACTGGATATTGAATGTAATATTCTATGAGGAAAGTAAATGTTTGGCATCTTTTAATGTCAGGCTCTTCCAAAGAAATCCAAGAAAAAAATCAGGATTGTAAGTATTTATTGAGAAAAATATATTTGACAAAAAGTACATATTTCAAGTCTATAATTCAGAATTTTCAATCAGTTTTAGTTGGACCCACAATGCAGAAAAATAATGTGGAACAAGTGACTATCAAGCACAGACATCATTTTATGATGAGTAAGAAAACTGAAATATTTTTCTCAAAACAGCTGAAGAAAGCTCAAACCAAACAACATTTGGAAAAAATATAAATTACACTTTATAATTTGATTCTGAAAAATTGCCTATTTTCAACAATTAATTTAAATCCGAATTTTTATAGGTCCAAATAAATGCTATAAAAAAATTCCTGAATGACGCTGATTCAGAATATGGTTTTATGGATCTAACTTTCATAGTTTTTGAGGGAATCCAAGACACATACACACACTTCACATTTATATTAGAAATTGTATGAAAAATCAAAATAAATAAATATGCACTGACTAAATTTGAATTTAGTAATTAGCTGTTAGTATTTAATAAATTGAATGAATAGTTTGTGTGTGTATTGAGGCACTTTTTTGTGTCTGGTAAGGGTGTATCGCTGAATGAAAATGAGCAATTTGCATGAGAAATGAAACCATATCATATACTATATACATGTACAATACTAAATCTTTATCTATTCTTTTAACATTTTCATCCATTGTTATTATGATCACCATTGTGGTTCTTTTCTTTTTTCTTTCTACTTAATAACATTTATTAAATTTTCATATTTTTAAAAATATTTAAAATTTCTCATCTGCATTTTTAATTTTTGGATTGGTTTATGACCTCCTTTGTTTTTAGGGATGTTCTCATAAAGTTCTCAACATTCTGTTGTGGAATAAATAGTATGCCCCCAGTGACTATATGAATTAGTCCATTACTATAAGAGCTCCAGGTCAGAGGTAAAACTGGTAGCTCTTTGTAGTCACTCTTCAGAAACTCTCCATATTTAAAAAATAAATATCCTCTTCTGACTAACTAGTGCAGGCATCATGGCAAGTAACCAAAGCATTATGTATAGAGAATCCTTATACGAAGTATGTTATATAAGTAAGATTGTGTTATAACAAAATCCATAGAATAGTGGCATTATAATATATTCCATGATTAGTTATCTTAATTTTTGAAAAGAATTTATAATTGACAATCTGATTAGTTATAATGAAAAGCAACTAAAATTCAGAAATACTAATCAAAAGTTAATAATGATTTTATCATTAGTTTTTAAATTTCTTTATCTTTACACACTTTCTGTGTATGCTTCATTATTTGTAATAGTTCTAGGTATGACAGTAAACTACATCCAGCAGCAAGGTAGGCCTCTGATTGGGAGATTGAAAGTTTTGAGGAGCATGGAACCATCACTTAATTGCTGTTGTTTCCAGGTCCACCCAGATACGGGGTGGTAGCACCTGTTAAGGTTTCAGCTATGGGCAAATAGTAAACCCCCAAACAAAAACAAAACGCTATGAAAGTATAAAAATACATATTTATAGTAGAATTACCAACAAATTAGCAAAATGACCACCAGTATATTTTATCTGTAGTTAAAGGCATACAATTGCATTCAAAAATTATTCAGTTGAAGCCATAAAATTGTCTTTAAAATATTTAGATTTCAGTATTAAATAACCTATAGAGGTTGATATTCCACTAAACAAACTCAGTCAACCAACCAACATTATTTGTGATTTTTGCAGGAGAGAAATAGCATAAAATCTGCCAAAGTTGTGGGTGTGGAGGTAATTTGTTCTTTGTGACATATTAGGCAAGAAGCTGCTTGGTTGAATTTTTTAACAGGTTAATGTTTCTCATTTTACTTTCAGCACTTTTTGAAGCCAGTTATAAATCTTATTTATGCATGCAACTCAGTTTGAAAATAAATTTTTCCATATGGTGTGAAAATTTGGCTGAGTTATAAGTGATTTGAGAAAGAGTCGAACTGAAAGTAATAGAAACTTTTTGTAATGTAACAACTTCAGCCAGAAATGTCTACATGCAACCTTTTACTCATAAGTAAATCTTATAGCTTTTCTGGTAAATATTTTCATGAACGAAATCCTTACACTGCTTCCTTTTTTATGGTCACATTCACATTTAGTGAAGCATTATTTGGATATCTGAAAAAAACTACAAACAACAATAGAATAAACAGACTCAGCCTCTTCCCTGAAGTTGGTTAATAGGGAAATTCCTTGCAGCTGTACAACCATAAATGATTATATAAACAACATTTTTCTATCTTTTGGGGCTAAACCAACTGAGGGGAAGGAATTCAAAAGGAATATTGCATGTGGGTTGTGGACATTAAGTTACAATATTTATACATCTTTTGCTAATTGTTGAAAGATGTTTGTATATTCAGGTGTATACATATTTATATTTATTTTGTTACTTGCTTGATTAATTTTCCTTTTTTATATGTTTGTGTGTGTGTGTGTGTATATATAAATATATATATATATATATATATATATATATATGGATTTTTTATCCACCATTATTTCTTATAACTATAAACATTACTTTTAGTGGGTACATGTATTTGAGTTGCTATCCCAGTTTTATTTTTTTTCCCATTTTCTTAAACAATGAAATTAATAACAACCAGCCTAAAGAAAGATTATGCCTTTGACAAGGGATACAGGTTTGAGTCATGTCTGAGGCACAATTTTTATTTTTACATCTCTTATTTCTTTGCTTAGTTTCTGAAACTTATCTTCCACTATTCCTGTGTAATTTCAAATTTATCTGTTATACTTTCTATTTATATTACACTAAATTTCTGCTTGATTTTGATATCCTTAATATGTAGCTCACACCTTTGGCTGTCTTTTTGGTAGATAATCATGCATTCTATTTTCATACATTTAATGCTTAGTCTTTTCTTCTTGCTACTTCCTTGTCTAAGAGTTCTTTCAGTTTTCCAAGTCTATCATCAAAACAGTGTCATTTGCATATCTTATGATAAGGTTATGTATGTCAATAATTTATCCTGGTAGCTCTTCTAGTTCTATTATGATCATCCTGCTAGGTTTATAGGTTAAATAAATCCAGTGAGAAAATACATTCTTGTCTTAATCCTTTTTCTATTCTGGAATATTCATTAAACTTTACATACAAACTGTACTCATTATAGGTTATGTATTACTTGAATATGTGTAAATAAAGCTTTTTTTAATATCTCATGTAGTTATGTACAATAAGATAGGTTGATTTTTCACTTTTAGAAAATCAACATTGCACTTGGTGTAAAAGTTGAGGTTTGATATGATATGTTACAGACACAAAAAATTAGATTCATAGCTTTTATCAATTTTTAAGCATTTAGTTTTAAAGAATGTCTAAAAAAATGTACAGAAATACCTAATTTCTTCAAGTTTTTTGCTTATAAACTAACTTCAAAATTTTATTATTTCAAGAATAAATCCAAATGAAGTTGATATTTTTTGTATTAGATACATTGAATGGAAAATATATTCAAACCAGAATTCTAATTATGAATCACCACAGGCAGAATATGCAATTTTTACTGTATTTGTTAATGTGTAAAAATTGTAAAAGATTACAAAAAAGGCTAATCA